TATTAATAATTATAACAAACTAGTGGAGTAATTTCACAAAAAATAATTGAATATCAATTCAATAAAAATTTAATTAAATAAATTAATTCTTTATTTGTACGAGGCATTTAGTAGCCATAAACTGAGGTAACCCTTGCGCTGGTTTAGTAGCAGTTGAGCTCCTTGTGGAAGAATTCGTCCAGCGAAGTACTGCCACCTTACCTACTTCTGCCGCCAAGCAGTAATGTCAGCATTACTGTGTTTCGGTTTTGAAGGGTGAGGGTGCTGGTGAAATTACAGGCACGTGGGGCTTGTCAACTTATGTTTCAGGGTGACGAGCGCTGTGGAAGTGAAAAGTGTTAAAGCTCTGATTGGCGCTGCAACTGTTATGGAGAGGCGTGTAGCTTACCATCAGGCGCAAGACTTGTTCGTCTTGTCGCTTGATATTATAATATATACAATGGTGACTTATTTTAAACCAGCCCTCGTAGCATGCCGCCGCGATAAAGCTATTATGTATACATTTAGCTATCAAATTCGAGTGATAAAAACACCATTATAAAATGTTATCACAATCGTTAACATGGCGAGCACCGTGACGTCGCATCGCGAATGCTACGACCAAATGCTGCAAAAAAATATCGCAGTGCCAAACATGGCAAGGACACAGGTGATTTTAAAACTTTTTGCCTATTCAGTTCTGCACGGTACTTTTTTACTGCCTTTGTGGCCGGACGGTTACCATACTGAACTGCCACGCAGAAGTTCCGGGTTCGATTCCCGGGCCGGGAGAAAATATTTGTATGGCCTACGTTTATTTCTCTCGTGAGTTTGGGTGTAATTTGTAGTTGTCTGTATGTGTGTCCATGGGACCCGCGACACGGGGTTTTCCTAGTGCGACGTCATGAGTTATCAACGTAAAAATTGAGCGCGACGAACGAGGTAAAAAGAACTAATAAAAACAAACAAATTGATATATATAAATTATTGGAAAAAGGTAAGGACAATATTTTTAATGCAGTTCAATACATGAGAGTAATTAGAAATATGTAAATAATAATTAATACAATGTAAAATATGTAAAAACTGACGATGTAGAAACCACAAAAACCGCACGGCATTTTTTGTTTCGTCGTTTTCGCAGCGATGACTAAACGACAAAGATATACATATACGCAATTTCATATCGTTATCCTTGTTCTTCAAAATGTACAATAATAGTTCATTACCGAAGAAACAAAAGAACGAATGACTCTAGTGAGGTATCTTACCGATTCAGTATTCGCAATAAAAAAAATACATTTTAATAAAGGCAACAAAGCTTTATCAACTGACATAAATATGTCACGAGCAGGTTTATCACACATTGCATGTGATATACTGCCATGCTACGGCTACAGGTTACGACGGGCTTTTAACTAACTTCCAAAACCGACTTTCGCTTGAAAAAGGTAGTCAATATCTTACAATATTTAATGTGTCCATGCAATTAGCATACGTACATGCGTACCATCACACCTCCCACCGGGGTGGGCAGAAACTATAAATACCACTTATATTCCTCTTTTCACATATGTACATAAAAATACTTAAGAAACTAATTACAAGAACATTTATTTAACGAATTTACACAACATTTTTTAGCCAGAATCTTATATGGATGTTAAGCAACAATGAAACCGACGACTGCGGTATGCGTTTGTACAAAAAATTGGCAAGTGGCGTACGATATAAAAAAGTTTGAGAACCTTTGTTCTAGTCGACCGAAAGAGGAACAAACATTGATGAGGTATTACATTATTGAGGTAGTACACACTGTACATACTCGCGTTTACACCCGTGAGTCCATTGTACGATGGTCCGAATCCATTGATTCAAGACTCCGTTATTAATAAGTATAAATATTACCTGTATGAAAGCTTTGATTTCAGTAAGCGAGTGCTCTACGTCGCTTATGACTTCAGCAAGGTTGTTCATTGAATCGACAAGGTTTTGTATGACATCGGTTTTAGCGTTCATGGCTGCGCACCTGTCTATTATTTCTTGAGGTATTCTGGAAAACATTATACGTACAAAATCGGGTGCGAACAACGAATGGCATTTATTTATTATTTATTTTTATTTATTATTTCGATAGAACGCTTAACGGATATAATTAATTTATGGCATAAAGTCATTTGACGTATTCTTGCATGATACAAAGTATCATTGGGTATAACAAACGATTGATATAACAACTTTCAATCTAATACAGAGTGTTTTTTTTTTAATGAGACAGTTTGGGGAAATCCGAACCATAGAAGATACAAGGAAACTCTCTTAGAAACCATCAAATCTTTTTTAGTGAAAACAATTTTGGCATAGTAAATTGGTGGTCAAGCGTGAGTTGTCCATAAAAATGTATAAAATTGATCAAATTTTTTTAATTATTAGGGCTGCAGAACTTGGCCAAATTTAATAAAATGTTATTCATTTTGTATGAAAAAACTTTTTATTAGATGTGACCAACTTCTGCTGTTCCGATTTTTTCTTCCGATACAATAAACTACATACATACGTCACGGCTGTCTGCCAATTGCATGGTCGGAGGCCACGAATGGTCCATTTGATACGATCTTGGTGCACCAATTTTTTTTATGTAAAATAGATGCACGCTTTTTTTAATTTGTACGGGTACGCGTTTGTGCAAAAATGCCTATTCACTCTTTCACTATTCACGTAGCCTTTGGGAAACAAGTATTAGAAAGAAAGAAGCAAAGTGCTTCGTGTGAATGGGTGGCAAATAAACAACTTGTAGCGGATGCTCGGATGGTTGTTAGTTGGAGAAGTGAAACGCTCGATGTCTAAGGTCGTAATTAACATTTATTTCCAAATCAGCCCCTACCTTTATACAAAATTTATAAAATATAACGTACACCCCAAACATAAGTTGGAGAAAGAGAGAGAGACAGACTATATATAGTCTCCACCTCTCGCTCTCGCTCTCACGTAAATACTTTGCGCGCCCGCGGGCCGCCAGTCAGTCGGCATTCGCGCGGCGCTGAGCGGACGTGTTGATGAATGCCATAAACTTAAGGGTGGAGTGTTCCGGACATTATATCATAGTCGAGTGAAGGAGGAATGGTGGTAAATCTTTCCTCACATTTTGATCGCTCTGGCATTATATTAGCTTATACGTCCTAAGTTCAAGATAGACTCACTCCGTGGCCCAACTGCTGTATGCTGCTCTGCCACGCTGAGATGCCAGGTTTTACATATTCCTGGGCCAGAAGAAATATTTGTATGGCCTACATTTATTTTTCTTGTTTCCCTAGTACAGGGCAATGGGTGTGTGTGTTATTATTGTTATTACTTACTTCTGTTCAGAATCAACCACTTCTAACTGGTCAAGCTGCAGCGAAGACATGAATTCCATGAGCTCAGTGGTCTTAGCCTCGGTTCTGCCAACAATGGACCTAAGCAACTTTGCTTTTTCTTCGGAGTACATGGATGACGCCTCGTGAGCCCCCATCGGGACCAGACGCGCGAATATGTCAGGCCCCGATACCTGTGCAAAACGCATTATTTTTTTTAGCTATGTTGGAGGGTGTAACAATGACAACTACATCATAAAAATACTTGCAGGACCAGAAAAATTATGTTTTCTTTTCCATTTTCTCTTCCAAGACGTGGAAGGATGAAGGAGAAGGAAGGTGATGAAATTGTTAATATTTCTCTTTGCATTAATTCTGGCTGCATTATAATAAAATAAGAAAATAATAATTTGGCTTATGTAAACTAATTCATATTCAAATGTAAATGTGCAATGATACACTTGTCAACGCCTAAACACATCTTGTACACACTCTACATACACATATTACTTCAGTACACAAACACCCTCACACATACTTTCACACACACTCAGATTACTTTGTTATTTAAATTGATTTTGTAATACCTTTGTCTATACATTACCATAACGTATATTGTTTGTAGAGTAATGGTAATGGCGGCAATAAATAAAGGTTAATTAACTTTTTTACCAACACTCGTCTTAAGTTTGTTTTTTGTCTTCTAAAAATTATTAATTAGTCCCGTTTTTATGGCATATTTAAAGAAAAAATATAGTGCGATTGATAACCCCGGGAAACTGCCTCCGTGACCGAATGGTTACCATGCCGGACTGCCACGCAGAGGTCCCAGGTTCGATTCCCGGGCCGGGAGAAATATTTATATGTCCTTGTGTACATTTATTCGAGTTTGGGTGTAATTTATGGTTGTCTATGTGTGTGTCCATGGCACCCGCGACACAGGGTTTCCCTAGTGCGGGGCTATGTTGAGTGTATGCGTTATTATTATTTCTTTAATACATGGAATAGTTAAGAGGCAGCAGAGGAAAAATTCCTAATCTTCGATTTGATTTTAGAGGGGTGTATCCACTTTAAAGTTCAAAATAAAATATTGTATGAGTAACTACACGATATATTCAAGCATAGACATTAATCAGAAACATAAAACAATAAAGTTTCCTCGATAGATAAAAATCACGAAATGACCTCTAATTTTCACATTTTTTCGATTCATCCTCGAAATGCTACAGGTTATTAGGACAAAAATTAGATAATTAATTATATTTATGCATGATCGACAACTGTCACTACGGATTTTTTTTAATCCCTTTAGTTTTAGAGTTATTTAACTGCCTCCGTGGCCGAACGGTTACCATGCCGGACTGCCATGCAGAGGTCCCAGGTTCGATTCCCGGGTCGGGAGAAATATTTGTATGGCCTACATTTATTTCTCTCGTGAGTTTGGGTGTAATTTATGGTTGTCTACGTGTGTGTCCATGGCACCCGCGACACAGGGTTTCCCTAGTGCGGGGCTATGTTGAGTGTGTACGTTATGTGTACGTTATTATTCCGCTAAAACGAATTTGGTACTTTTAATGCGCAAAATTTAACATCTCCTGTCGCATGTCATGCGAACTTCAGACATATATTTGTTTCACAAATTTGGGCGGAGCCAACGTCAAAACTTTTTTGGCATGCTCCCTCTTAACAATATAAAAAAAAAGCGAAGAATTCTAGTAAGGTAATAGACACGAGTTTAAAATTTTCATGAATACTTTCAAAAGTAATTCTTAAAGGTAGCTTATCTTACAATTTAAAATTAGAATTTATTTATTTATTTATTTATTTCAGACACAATAACAGTTCACAAACCATGTAAGAAACTTGATACAAATTTAAATATAGAACACTTGTTAGCTTGGAACCAATAACAATTGTGCACAACACTTAATTGACTTTAGTTTGTTAAACATTTAAAAACTATTAAAAACAAAAATATAATCATTAAAAAGAAAAATATAATTACTATAATTAAACAAACAATTTATAACTATCCTATATATATTTTAAAAATGGAAATTTGAAAAAATCATATTTGAAGAGAAAAACATATTTAAACAAAATCAATAAATCTTATTTACAACACTTTTTTTTTTTTTTTTTTTTTTTTTTTTGACCTAGCTGTGAGACCTCAGAGACACTATAAACGATTCCATCGACTGGTGGAATATGTCTACCTCAGTGCTAACCATATTGTAGTTCCTACACATACGAAGCAAAGGATCATTGTAAGACACATTGTATGTTGTTAAGGGTACATAAAAAAGTTTTTGAGTGCGGCACTTTCCAATCATAAGCCTAACTTCCTCAAGCAATTCACTAGTATCCCACTCCGAATTAACTATTTTGTACAAAAGAATATAACGACTATCGTATCGTAATACGAATCAAGTACTTTGTTTTTAATTTATACATACAGAATGTTTTTTTTAAATGGGACAGTATTACAAAAAATGTTAAAAAATCGTGATAGCAAAAGTTGATGAAATGAAATTTGAACAACTTCAGCTGACCCGATTTTTTGCGTCCATAACAATGAAATTATTCCTTCATGAAACTGAGTCGACCAGCACTAAAAGAATTTGAATAAATTTTATTCATTTTTATGGATAACTTCAAAGCTTCCCCAAAAATTTGACTATGCCAAAATTGTTTTCACAATTTACCCATTCTGTCCCATTTAAAAAAAAACAAACACTATGTATATTTACCGTTGTCTGTAAAAAAGCTTATTGACCCGTAACCGAACATTGACTTTCGTAACACATCGTAACCTAGCATGATAGTTAAGGGACAGATAATCTTGAGACAATAGTAACAAGAGTCACTTTTTATTGTCAAGTTTAATTTTGTAAACGATCATTATTTTGTCAAAATAGTGGAGCGTACTGGGAGATCAGCTGCTTCATTTAAGAGGTATACGGTTAGAAACACTATGGTGGCTTGTAACCGTGACTTTAATTTCTAATAAAAGTACAAAATGGTAGTGAGTATTTAGTAGTAATATAGGAAAACAACGCGATGGACACTTGATGACGAAGACGGTTCACAGTTCTTAAAAAAATTGTGAAGTTCCTACAACAGGTTCTGTATAAACGAGAGCAGTCTGTGCTGGCAGCAGCAACATAAATAAGTAATGTATCATGGCAACGTTTCGAGGCGGTCTCTGCCTCTCCTGGTACGATTACTAGCATAATGTGTAGTTTTGTGAAAAGTTTTAACTTTAGCGTCAAAATATAGTGGTTTCAAAAGGGTTCTTTTTTCGTTGTAATAATTACCAGCGCCTCATGTTCTCCACAGTGTCATTAATAGCTTTAAAAAACAATACTAATTATAAACTTACCTCAGAATCATTAAAATTAATAGGAATTGCTTTGACCAAACACGCAGGCTTCAAATCAACCAACAAGTCCTTATCAGGCACTTCCTCGTGGTAAATAAATTCGTTCTCATTCTTAGCGGCTTTCCGTTTTCCTTGCACGACGTCATACGTGAATGTCAATGCGTCTTCAGTGTCATGAACTGGTTCTATGTATTTCGCGAGCTTTCTAGCTTCGCTGAGTTTGTCTATAGCTTGCTGATAGAATGCAACGCGCTCTCCCATCTTCTGCTGTTCCTCCGCGTTCATGCCTGGACGGATTATGGAAAAAAAAAGGACATTTAAAATTGTTATAATTCTAATTAATTGTAACTGTTGTCATAAGAAAAAAACCGGGTAGAATAAGACTGGTTAATTGTTTTGATTTTTTGAACCATAGTATAATAATGAAAAAAAGAAATCATTAAATTATCTAGCAAGTTTTGAATTGTGATGTAATGCAATACAATACACTCTTCAAATAAGTTAGTATTATGATTTAGTATTAAAAGAAAATATCATATATGTCGCTGTAATCCTAAAGTAAGTAACTAAAGCGCTTGTGTTGAGGAAATCGGATACAACGACAGTACCACAAACATCCAGACCCGAGATAATATTGAAAAGTTAATATACTACAATCGAACCCCAGAGATGGCGACGCCATGAAAACCAGATCGTCAAATAATATTTGAATTAGATTACCTTGATATAAACAGACAAGACATCCAATGTAAGACATCTTGAATGAGAGATAGCGGTACCAATGGTTGTAAAGCTTGGTGCCAATGATTTCATGGATGTTGTCAGTTCCAGTTGATGGGCCAAGCAAGGCGAGAGCATTCTTGTAGAAATACATCACTTGTGTAGCAACAGCACCTGAATAAAAAAGGTAATATGGTTCAAGTCCCTTAATTCAATAAAATGTCTAGATAAAAAACACACTAAACACATTGATTTAAATTCTATTAAACTTAGATCTGTAGTGGAAATCAAAATTATTCATTGGCCAGTGATATTTCGGAACAATGCACAAACAGACACGATATACACTACTGGGCATGAGTATGCCAAAATCAGAAAAGATTAAAACAATAACAGACAGGAAAATTCATCAGTTGATAATTCTTAAATTGTCACATAGATGACAAGCTGCACAAGGTCAGAAATTAAGCCCCAATAATGATAATAATCCCCGTTAGTCCAGTGGACCAATATCTCAAGTGAGCTGCTAATCTCCATACTACACTACACATCGCAACTTTACTCTAAAAAAGGTTTAAGTTCCGTTTTATATTTAGATGGCGCTGATCAATATCCTGGAAGTAGCTTATGTTGTGTAAATGGCTGTGGATATCAAATAATTGCTCTTCAATATGAAATATAAGAACTCAGTTCTTTTCCTTGTAATATAATTCAAATGTTGAATGTAAGCTAAAATAATTGTCGAATCCGGCCGGATCGAAGGAATTTTTTCCAAGTGTTCGATCTTTGTATTAATAACTGCCTCCGTGGCCGAACGGTTACCATACCGGACTGCCACGCAGAGGTCCCCGGGTTCGATTCCGGGAGAAATATTTGTATGGCCTACATTTATTTCTCTCGTGAGTTTGGGTGTAATTTGTGGTTGTCTATGTGTGTGTCCATGGCACCCGCGACACAGGGTTTCCCTAGTGCGGGGCTATGTTGAGTGTGTGCGTTATTATTATTATTATATAATAATTATAACAAACTAGTGGAGTAATTTCACATAAAAAATAATTGAATATCAATTCACTAAAAATTTAAAATACAGTGAATAGCGACATCTCTAGCGGGGGCTGGTAGCTGTGAAACTTTCTTAATGGGTGACGAAATACTTTCATATATTTGTCATAGATGGCGCTACGGCTAAAAAGTCGTTGAAAAACCAAATACAAAGACACGACAACAAGCACATAGAAAAATTCATGAGGTCCGCTGGTTCGTTCCGTAGCTTAGTTAGTACAGCGTCTGGCACGGTATGCTAGAAGACGACGGTTCGAATCCGGCCGGGTCGACGGAATTTTTTCTTGTTCGATCTTTGAATTAATAATTATAATTGTCTAAACTTTGACAAACATGCGTGTCATAGATGGCATTGTGTGTTACAAACTAATTTATAAATTAACGCTTCCTAATATAGGTAGATGGCGCTAATCCTAAACATAACAAAAGAATAGCCATCGCTATCAATAAATATCTGTGCAATAAGCTCCATCTAGTTGATTTATATGTTATCACTAGAAATTGGAGTAGCTTTGACAAATAATTGCAGCTTGTCAATATAATGACGGCTCCACACGCTTGCCATTTGCCGCAAGCTCCAAAGTTTTAAAAACGCTTGGGAAATTAGGAATACAAACGTCGGCATCCACACGCTTGCGAGTGCGCATTAGTGTGCTCCAGAGCAGCATGCGTGTCGGACGTCGAATTTGTGTCTGCTATTACGTTCGGCTTAACGCTATTTTTATTACAAAAAGAAGCAAGATACGAAACGTGCATCTGCTACTTTTATATCTTTACAGTCTTTATTCTTTGCAGTCCGAACGCAGGGTTCTGCTTGGTAGCACTCCAGAATGAATAGTCTCGTTTGACCAGTCATCCATTTTCCAAATTTATAACCACAGAAAGCTGTCATTCCTAGATTATAATAGTTGTTTTTAATAATTGTTTTCAAATTCTTTCCATTAACGAAAAAGCAAAGATTTAAAACCATTACAGCACAGTGTTAACCAAATACCAGTAGTGTTTTTTTTATATTATATGGCATATCCATCAACCCAGCATAGCCGAAAAGAATCGTCTACATGTTGACAGTTCTCAAACAATACTAACTAGCACAAACCTGTGGATTCATAGCAAGCACCTGAGACAAGCTTCCTTTGATTTGTGCACAAAAACAGACACTTGCCGGATCGGCGACAAACACATGCAAGCTCGCACAAGCTAATCCAAACAAACCATCCACACTGTTATGCTTGAACACCTTTGCCATGATTTGGCAAGCGGCTAGAGCCGCCATAAAACAAAGTAGTTACAAAAATAGCTATTTGGTACCCGTCGCGACATCTGGTGTTCAAATTGGTACTAAACATTCGACTATGCTGTCTATTTTGTATCACGATTAGCAGTCCCCTTGAGTTATAAGACCATGATCTCACACGGTCTTAACGTGGCATATCACTGTCAGCACAAATGCATAATGGATGTATTGTTTGCTGGTGCCAGTCCCTGAGTCCATTGCCCCAGTCAATTGCAAAAGAAAACTGCTTCACCCATTTAAAATTGAAATACTGATGTTTCAGGCCATGGTAAAAGCAAGAATATTAAATACATAATAAAATAACCACTTACCAATAACACTGGGTTTATTAGTGTCCTGAATACTTTTTTCTAGGATGCATTCTTGTGCTTGGGCCAAACATATTTCCTGTAATAACCTCATGACTTCTACAGACACATCAACTCCAGGCGGCTGTGTATATTGCTCCCTCAAATATAAAAATGCCCAAGCAGCATTTTGAAAGTGTGTACATGCAGCTTTTAAACTATCAGCAGAATTTCTACTTTTTGTAGCGCCCAGTTGTGTATGCAGGGCTCCTATGTTGTACAGAATGGAGGCCATTTCAAAACGTATATCTGCTTGTTGGCAACTCATGTGTGCATAGAGATCTTTCCTGAAATATGGTATTTTTTAAGGACCTGTCTTCTTGCACGACATTAAGTAACTTGCGCGAGAGCGGCATAAAGCGTGAGATCTTTATGAGAGAATAGCAGTATCTCGCCCTTTATGTCGCACTCTATCGTGCTAACACTATGGATCTTACTGATCAGTCTCAGCTTCTTACTCAAACTTTTAAATATAAAAATATTATATTTAACCTCTTAAAACCCAGCAAACTACAATAGGAAAAGAGCCAAGTGCCCAATATAGATTAAAATATATATGCTTGAGGCCCAGCAAGTATGTCCTTAGTTTTATATGAAAAACATATTTTTCTAGATATGTTTAGTTACATAGGTTATGTAGAGCGAAATTTGAATGCAATATGTTCATTATAATGTACACTGGGCATTTACATGATAATATAAATAATATTATCTGGGTCTGAAACCCTTCACATTATTAAGCATGTTTATAGATTGTCTTTTTTGAAGACGGAGTAAAATGACAGTTTATTGCACAAAAGTCTTGCCCACTTGCAAGCAGCTAGTCATTGCAGTCGATAAATATTGGATCAACTGAATATTGATCACGCTTATGGACTAAATAACTGAACTTGTTTCATTTGAATCATCCTCAACCCATTATTCATCCAATTGTAAAGAGCAAGTTTCACTTGAATTGTAAATATTTGTAAGTTCATACATACATACACTGTATTTAGAAGTATGTTTTGGAAAAATACAAAGAGGTGACATATTTTAAAGTTTTTCATTTTAATTTGATACATATTATAATCAAAGCTGGCTATTCTTGTTGTACAGGAATAAAGATTTATCTCAATGTTAGTAAGCAGCTCAATACAGTCTGCCACACAGAGGTCACGGGTTCAATTCCCGGTCCGAGAGAAAATTTGTATGGTCTACATTTATTTCTCTCGTGAATTTAGGTGTATTTGTCGTTATCTATATCTGTGTCTAAGGCACCCACGACAAAGGGTTTCCCCAGTGCGGGCCCATAAGTAACGCACACAATGTTATTTATTATTTAAAAATATTCAGATACAATTAATAAACAACCCTTACAGCACAGGGAATGAAAATCTTGTTCAACCTCATTGACTTACAAATAAATGGACGACAGGTCTAATACAAAAACCGTGAAAAAAATGTCCCAAGTCAACCTATTCAAAATTTAAATTGTAATGTCACACAATGTCATCGCAGTATCGCGCTGTCAGTCCAACAAATGAAGACTAAAGCGGAGTTTGGTGCTCTGTATACGATTTTAGCGCCTTACAAGTGCGGACACTTTTTAGCGCGGACCCGACGTCCATATAATTGTAAGTCAATGTTCAAGCTGTTTTTCTTTCTGTTCTCAAACTGTAAATATCTTTTCAAGAGTAATCAGTGCATAAACAATGAGTAAAACAATCAACAATGTCTAATGTCGTACGAAGCGACATCTTAAGATAGTACAGCATGAATCATCATACATAACTATTACAACAATAATTGTAAAAAATCAATAATCTTCTGTCAATCATAATTGAATTACTAACCACGAGAAGGTACATGCTGCGGGTTGACCTTTTGCCATGGGAAAGCGGCTTTGTATTGCCCGTAGTTGGCAAAAATATCTCATAACAGCATTCAGACCCGCGGCATCAACTGATGGTCTCACGGCGGCCGACCTGAGCCCTTCCAGCTGATGTATCTCATTACTATAACTTTCCGGATCCTCTCTGTAAACTTCCGCTATGTACTGAAAAAAAAACAAGGCGAAATGAAGACAAAGAAATGCTTATAGCACTTTTATCAAGGAGATTAGAAGACCTATTTACCTGTTTCAGTTTGGGTCCAAAATGTGTGTTCTCCGAACTTACTTTAAGTTCGAAACTAATAAGAGGTAATTTTGGAACCGCTTCCATGTTTCACTACACTCTATTTTTAGTAAAACACAGTTTTTTCTCGACAAAACAATTTCATCATAAATTAGCTTTTTGTGGAACTGTCAATTTTTGTTTGGTTGGATGGTAGTGGTTTATTCCAAAAACCGATTTCCGGTTTTTAAATGTGATGATATTTATATTGAATCGATTTATTCTGTAATGAAATTGGCGTCGATTAACAATTTCCCGAACACTGTGCAACACTACTGACTTGAAAAATACTCAACTTGTCTATGGTCGACATATCGCGCTTATTTTACGTAATAATTGTTTTATGTCCTGACAAAAAGTGCAAATTTTAATTTATGTACAATTGAAATTTGTTCAAATAAAGCGCATTTTGCAATGGCGTGCGCCTAGTCTGTGGCGTGCGTGCATTTGTTGTGTGTAGCGTTCTTTTAAATTCCGCTTTTTATTTTAATGTATCTTTTAGTGACTTACAGTTGCTAATAATCAAATAATCATCATGAAGTTAAAGAAACCGAAGGTAGATAGCGAGGTAAATACGTTTTACATTTGTAGTCATATGTTATTGAGTATTTAATATATGTTTCGCCGTTCTGTAATGTCAATTTGTTATTATTTTACAGGAGGTTGTTCCTCCCCAAGCGGAGATTATAGAAGCGGATTTGTACAAGCGTTCATACTTTGGCCCTGATGTGCCTACACTTGAGCTGGAGTGCTGGGAAGACGAACTTTCAGAAGCTCAACTTAAAGCTTATAAGAATGCCGACGATGAATACAAGAGCATTCAAAACAAACTCGACGAAATTGTGAAAAACACTGGCGGTGAAATCGTCTACAACGGCGATCAGTTTACTGCTTATCAACTGCTTGGGAAGTGAGTAATAATATATTCGGAAAAGTAATTAATTGATATTTGGTGGTTTTAACAACTGTCGCTCCTTGTAGCTGTATCTTTACATCTATATCGGCGCTTAAATGGTAAACGACCGCATGTCGAAGTTTACTTTTTTACAGGAGAGGCGATCAAAGTTTTCGACCTGATTTCTTAACTTTTATTTTTAAACACCCATGTTTTATACTAAAAAGATGCGTATTTTACGACTATAAATTTGTAAACACAGACACGACTCACAAAAGGACTGTTTAGCTCAAAAGTTAGCCATGAAAGTACTGAATGCCAAACAGGCATTTGCGTAATTCCGTTGTTTACAATGCCAAATCTCCAGGAGTCTTCGTGTAGTATTAAAGTTTGACCATTTTTAAACACATTTTTGCAGTAAAATTATTTTTGAAGTTTATTGTGAGGCAGCGGTTTAGCATTTAAGGGACGATATATGTGGAACAACTTTTTCTGACCATTGGTAATAGGTAGATAGATAATACACTTTATTGATCACACACAAAACAAAAACAGTAATAATTGTAAGGTATTCTATATTTTCTGCTTACCTTGGTGGATTACAAGAAATGGGACTTGTCAACTTATGTCTCAGGGTGATCATGGATATCAAGGATGTCAAAGATATCACGGTTTTCAATATAGATAGTCAAATTCTGAGACTATGATCTACTTTTTAAACTGGGACCTCCTTAACATAATCTTCGAGGGATTTACCACACTTGTCAATACAAGATTGCCATAGTGAAACAAACTGTTTTACAGTTTTATTACATTAGTATGTCATGATTTGGTCACTTAGAGCTTTTTGTGACCAACTCATTCCAATTCCTCATCAATATGTGGTGACTCCCTTCATAAACCATTTATTTCACACATAAACAAAAAATAATAATTTCCAGACAAAGAGAAAAAATATGTTTTAATACAATTTAAGAACATAATTAAAATAAAATTAAATCATAATAGAAAAGTATAAAGTACATACTTTGTGTCTGTCACACATGAGTGAGCTCAGGGAAGTGTTGAAATCAGTTTGCAGTGATTTTAACCCTGATTTGCAGCCCAACCCGCCCATGGCAGTGCTATATGCTTTATGAAGAAAATAATAATGAGATGCAAAATAATAATAATAACAATAAGATGGATTTAATAAGAATAAAAGCAAAGATTAAGTTATTCTATACAATTATTCCATAGCCTCCGCACAGACATCACTTTTTTATTACTTTTACTTTGCATTTCATATATTCACTTTTTGATCTACAGAATATAACAAAAAATAAATCTGGGGACAATTTTTTCTTCAAAACTAGTCAGATTGTCACTGTAGTTAGAAGTTAGAAGTTTTCACTGTATTGTGTTTTATTACAGACAACCAGTCCTCAAGGATTTAGAGAGGCAGAGTGCAGAAATCATCCGGTCACGCTCCCGTTCACTGTCAGTCTCTAAGGAACCCAAGCCTGGAAGGAGGGGTAATTTCCATGTCACTAATCTTATCATGAATGTGATATGAATTTGATCAGTTTAGTCTAAACTTCTGTGGCCACACAGAATTTAAAATAAATTGCAGACTACTCAAAGACTGTGGTTATAGTTTCAAACAGTCTTCTATTGTGCATCCATAAGCCTGCTTGATCTAAATGCTGCTCACTATTATTCATTTGGAATTATTGTTACACTTAGTGCAAAATACAAGGTTGTTATAATATTTTGCTATGCAGGTCGTCCAAAAAGAAACCGTGATGAGGACCGCAACTACTCCCCGTCACCTGAGAGACCGAAATCACCTGAGACGCGGCACAAGAAGAAGAAAAAGGACAAAGAGAAGACCAAGGAAAAGGAAAAGGAAAAAGAAAAAGAGAAAGAAAAGGAGAAAGACAAAGACAACACAAAAGTTAAAGACAAGACGCTTGCTCCTTCTAGTAAGTTCTATCAAACTGAAATTGTTATGATACACTGCAGCTCAATCACAGGGCCGGTTTGTCTGTGAATAACATGCAAGAAACTGGTTTTAATACATACTTTCGGCTGTGTAAGACTTGAAAGTTACATATGCTTTGTGTTATGTGAGATAACAAACTTCAGGCCTCAGCCCACCATATGTTGAAGGTTTAGCATGAGGGGAAATAGCCGAAGCACGCTTTCGCAGTGAAACCTTTTTCTTCTCTACAGACTATTGCATTTCTGAAACTCAAATGGCAGACAAAACGATTTGTGATAGATGTTATTAAATCTACTAGTCACTCCAAACTTGTAATAGTGCAAAAATCACAGGACCATCTCTATTCACTAATTTCCTGAGTTTAGTTTTTGTATTGTTTATGATATTTATGAAGTCAGTATCTTACGTGGTACTTGGTGTAACTGTCTGGTGTCCGCAACTCGACGTCAAGGCGCCTATTCGTGCCACCCAAGCTCCTCCAGGAATCTCAGCAGCCTCCTCGGTTTGCTGAAGACTTGGGGGAGCGACCTTGGCACTCCAAGGTACTTTGCCCTGTAGTTGGCCACGCCGGAGCACTGTAGTAGGATGTGCGCAGTCAGTGTCTTTTGTCTTGGTTCAGTTGGTGGCCCACTGGTAAAACAAATTTACTATAAGATGTTTTACAGTTGAAGCCTGGGCCTGGGCTTTGTGTCCACAAGTTTAAAATGGGTGAATTTACAAATTAGTTATGATTTATATGACAATTTACAGAACAGTTTTCTATGGATGTTATAGAAAAATCTAACTACATGAGCGGTACATTGGTGAACCAAACCTTTTTTTGTTCATATTGTCATCATGTTTATGTAATTCTTCAGTGGGTGGTTTTGTTAGATAAAGAACCAAAAGTTTAAAGGACCAAGGTGCCATGTGACATAAGCAGCTTGTTTAACAAGAACTTTTCTTGCCATCAACAGACGTGCATAGCGTGGTTACAAACGTGCGTCCGTCGGAAGCGACTGCAATCGGCGGTCTGCTCACTGGTGCCACCAAGACCACAGCCATTGTGGACCTGACCAAGGAAGACAGCAACAAAAACACCGCTGACTCTAAAGAGGTTTCCTTTAATAAACTTCAAGGTAAAACTATTCAATCAAAATATGTGTATATTTTGCTCGCTTTACCTTATAACTTTGGTTTAACTGAGATGCAGGTTTAAATTTTTAACTGATTTCAAAAAAAGGAGGTTACACAATAACTTCTGCTCCGGATTTGTGGACCGATTTTGATGATTCTTTTTTTTGTTGGAAAGAGGATACCTCAATGTTGACCCCATTTAAATTTTAAGAAAATAGTCCTCTATGGACGGCAATCTAGGGGATAAATGACTTTTGAGGTTGGTTTTTTTAGTACTCTGTGTTAAAATTATTTCCAAAACAGTTTCTCATCCAATTTCTTACAACATTTGGTTGACCACTTGCATTGATAGGACATGTATGTGGATATTTTTGAGATTGACTGTTCGACCAGGCAAGACATTCCCGTCTCTGGTGGTGGTAGCGCGACCGTACCTACGCGCCAAAGATGCTCCCCCTCCGTCCGACCGGTCCACCCTCGACAGCAAGGTCAAGTCCGTGCTGATGCATACGCCCATGAAGTTCACGGAGTGGCTTATCCAGCAAGGCTTGGTACGCTCTGAGCAGTGGTGCGCTATACATTCTGGAAATAAGCTCAAATTGGGTAAGTTGGGTACGCACTTCGTCCGTTACATTACCACTAGTATGACGCTCGCCATTACTTAATATGCGTGATGAAGGAGCTGAATAAATACTAATTTTATTTAGTAAAATGCAGGAGAATTTATACATACCATAAAATGTTGAAATCACTTCTTTATGTTTATGTATGTAACAAATACTGTTGAGTAGTTTTCCGAAAATTTTCGAATAGTGGAATTTTTATATATATATTTTGTAAAGGTATCTAACTGGGTCACGAAATACTTTCATAGATTTCTCATAGATTGTGCTACGCCTAAAAAGTCGTTGAAAACCAAATACAAAGGTCCGACAAAACAAGCAAAGCAAAAATTTGTGAGGTGCGCTGGTGCGTTCCGTGGTTTCCTAGGAGACGTCGTTTCGAATCCGGGCAGATCGAAGGAATTTTGTTTTGTCTTTGTATTAATAATTATAACAAACTAGTGGAGTAAGTTCACAAAAAATAATTGAATATCAATTCAATAAAATTATATAAGATTTCAAATGCTTGGCATCAGTGAAAATAAAAGATACAAGTAAAAAAATATTTATAATGGCTTCATCATTCTCGTTCAGTATCTTCAACTTTTGAGGGGTAATAACTGTCAAATGTGGAAAAATATTTACTTTTTCTGAAAATTATGAATTTTTCTAAAATGATTTTTTTCTATGACCCAACACTAGCAACAAACAACATCCTGTATCTTTCCAGCTCCACCAAAGCCAACGGCTTGTTTGTTATAACTTGAACTCGTCACTAATCACTACATGCAACGTTTTTTTCTAGGAATGTACTCCGACGTATCGAAGTTCCCTTACTCCGGCGGTTACGTCTGGATCTCGGAATGTTGCCCAACACGTTTCGTCTCCGTGTTTTCCAGCTCTATATTCGAAGGCGCGACCTTCCCTCCCAGCGTTATACTAAAACTCATCTACCATTGGGCGTGTCAGACGAATGTACAAAATGTGGTCCAGTGGGTAAAAGTCGACAATTTATACGTAAAAGGATTGTTCACCTGGCTGAGGTCCATTTGTACATCGGCCATTCATCAACATTTGGGCCTATTGGGTGGATCGGGGAAGAAAGTTGAAGTAGGAGTGATATCTTTGGGTACGACCAGCCACGATGGCACGCAGAGGCAAGTCAAAGTTGAGGTGCTGGGGGTTCTGGATCCAGTTGAGAAATTGGTAAGTTTAATTTAGCAAATTATAGATCTCTCATTGTGTACTATATTAGTCTCTTAGCTGTCATGGTACCAATACTATTAAATCTTTCTGTGATATGCTGTTACTATGATATAAGTAAGTAAGTAACGCACACACTCAACATAGCCCCGCACTAGGGAAACCCTGTGTCACGGGTGCCATGGACACACACATAGACAACCACAAATAACACCCAAACTCACAAGTGAAATAAATGTAGGCCGTACAAATATTTCTCCTGGCCCGGGAATCGAAACTGGGACCTCTGCGTGGCAGTCCGGTATGGTAAAAGCGCGTTCCCATGTCGTCACGTTTTATTATCGTTGGACGACTGCCGTGTCTAGCCTGTTCCATCACGACTATCTGTCGTGGACGATTTTTTATCGTTGAACGACTGTCGTGACTAGCTGTTCCCACTAGATCGTGACGACAATTTATCGTTTCACGACAGCCTCCTTGCTCTTCTCTGGCTACGACCCAACGCTACTGCAAAGCGAGCAGAGGGCGCGGGGCGACACAGGATAAATAAAACGTGACGACAATAGTAGTTGCGACAATCTGTCGTCACGTTTTCATCGTTACGTTTTTTTATCGTCTGACGACTGTCGTTCTAGCTGTTCCCACTGTGACGACAGTTTGTCGTTGTAACGATAAAAAATCGTGAACGACAGTTAATCGTGTCGTGCTATATGTGAACAACTTCATTTAAATATACAAGCCACGACACTGTAAACTGCACGACAATCTGTCGCCACGACATAGTGGGAACGCGCCCTAACAGTTCGGCCACCAAGGCAGTTAAGATATACAGAGTAAATTTTTAATCTTTATTGTTTCTATGAAGTTGTTCTTTGCGTACATTAATAATTGTATAGGTCAAGCTTTGCAGAGACTGGTGTCTGAATTGGGTTAATATTGTATTTCATGTGGCCATGTCTCTACTTATGTAAAAAATAAGAAAACTGGTAAATAAATTTAGGCAATACAATGGATCTAGTTCAGGCTTCGAAATTGAAGAATATATAGTGACTTAGGGTCGTATTCTAGAACTCTACTCAATGCTGAAGTCAGTATTTGAGTATGGTTTAAAGCACTCGAAATCATACTCAAGTCCCTGCCATTAGGGTCGTATTTCCAGTGTTTGTGTTTTCAGTGCAATCCTGACTTGAGCATTGAGTATAGTTCTAGAATACGACCCTTAATGTTTAAGAATGAAGCTAAAAACAGTAGTAAATACATTATAGTGTAACTTTGCAAAAGTGATGTTTAGGATATCCGATTCCGCGACGGAGCGCGGCGCTGCGTTTTTAAACGTTGTACTGAAGTACCTTAGTTTGTATGGAAAACACGCGCCGTCGAACACACTGACAACGCTGGCACACTGCGCACCGCACTACCGCGCGGGTTTTTAAGCTTAAGGACATGTTCAGTTTTCTGCAATAGATCTCGACGTCGATAAAATTATATTTGCTATTGAAAATGGACCAAATTTATCTTCATATTTTCTTAAATCTTTGTAATGAAAAGGAAATTTATTAGTTTTTATTAGTTAATATTTAACCTAAAAACTCAAAATAAAATATGCATATGTGACGGTGTGACCTCCTTGCATCGTCATCCCATCTTTTTGTATCGCCTCTCTCCACTCGTATCACATCGGTTCTTGTCTTTTACTCTTATTTAAATCCAAATTTTGACTTGTTCCATTCTTTTGCCTCACTTTCCGATTTTGTTTCGTTCTATCTTCACTCCCTGCTTGACCGCGATAGCAGACAGAACTACTAAATCAAATTGTCTAATTTTTTATTCTTTTCAAGTTTAATCATAATACATACAATCAATGTAAAGCATGTATCGACCATAATAAGCGAATAACAGTCTATCTAATATCTACAATTCAACATAATACAACCCGATAAGGGATAAGTGCCTTAATATTCATCAGCATAACGTTAGGGAGTGTTTTTTTTAACAATGTACCTTTTATATTTATAAATACCTTATTTGTCTTTACTTCTGTATTACGACGTCGTAAAATAAATTTGTGGACCGGAAGTTTCCTCTTTTACTGCCGTGACATGCTGGTCACGGCTACTTAGGGTTACAACCCTTTCACATATATGTGCCTATGTGTATGTCTGTGTATATGTTTGTATATGAGTATGTATTTATGTACGTATATAAACTAACAAATTATAGTAAAGATAATAAAAAAAAAGAAATTGCAAATTATACTTACACATTACTGAACGTGTCATTGCCGCATCTAGTACGCTCTGCCGTGTCGTATATCTGTGTTCGCTTATATTTTTGTCTACCTACTTGTAGGTAGGTCAATGCTACCTACATATATTTTTATTCGTAAGTTAGTGCGCTTGATTTATTTTGTAAGTTTAAATTAGTTAAGTTTCTCAGTGAGAGAATATGTAATTCTTATGAGCAATAAATATTCTTTAACCATATAAATTATCCATTTATCGATCTGGTTCGTAAAAGGGATGTATCCAATAGCTTCGGTGTCTTTTTATTTTAAGTAAACAAAAACCAAAATTAACAGTATAACTACAGTGCCCTGAAATTGTTCCGTATTGTTAACCGTTCTTGTCAAAGAAGGATCTCCGCTACATATACAATATAAAATCTGCGTCTCCGCCACCGCACGCGTGATTCCGCGTCCCGCGTTCCAGGGCGCAGTGCAGTGTGATAATCGCCTTAATTAGGATATTAATGAATATTTACTTTAGCAGTTATAAAAATTATACCGAACGTCTCACAGATCCGTCTACGCGCAGTGGAACCCCTAGCAGAACATGAAAAGAACTACAAGAAGCGCTTCCAAAAAATTCTAGAACCTCTAACCTCGTGGGTTCACCAGTCCTCAGTTGTTCTGACCGATTTGACTGTAGACAAAGGCACGTTGGTCTCTATGGGTTTCAAAAACGTGCACCAGTCGTCGTCGCACGGCGATCAGGCAGGGCGGAATAGCAATGCTAATATTATGGAATACTTGAGACGAATCGTGCCAAGAATGTTCCAGAACACATTATCACTGTTGTCCAGGCAGATAATACAGCAGTTCCTCGATGAACTTGTTTGGAGGGAGAAGTAAGTTTTATAATTCTATTTTCAAGATTTTAAAATCAGTCGACAGTTAGAATCGTTGTGTTTCTTACGAAGATGGATGATTATAAATAAGATATATTGCATTTCTTCCATTAACATTTAAATGTAATCCTGATCGTTACACACGTCTTGCAAGTTTGTTTTGTCTATGAATTTCTAAATTAATAGTCATATCTTTTTATTTTTATCTTATTTTCAATAAGGCCTGTAATTCGATGTCAATGGCGGCCTTGTGATGACAATCCCTGTGGATAATTGTACTTTATCATGTCGCCTCGTAGTGAAAGGCAAAACCCACATATGAGTACAGAGTTTTAGCCCTATATATCTTTTGGTAATGGTGAAAATTAAACATATCGAGGACAGTTAACACTCCTTGAAAAAAGTCCAAAGGGCATTAGGTCAGCATATAGCGGGGCCACGTGCCCAACGGCATAATAACAAATTACGGCGTTTTTTCATAAACAACAACATAGAATTTTGGCTGGTATATTTTCCTCACTCTTTCACTGTTCATGCAGTCAAGACTTTGGAACGCACTTCCTGTTATTGTGCCCGGAAGTAAATCTTTAACTATTTTCAAAATGACTGTTAAGGACATTGACTTACAATTATAAAAAATTGGACGTCGGGTCCGCGCTAAAAAGTGTCCGAACTTATAGGGCGTTAAATTCGTATACAGAGCGTCATTCACGCTTTAGTCTTCGTTTGTTCGACTGACAGCGAAGCAAGCAAAATTAGACAGTACTGCGATGACATTACAATTTAAATTCAACGTTTTAGCTTTTTCATATTCCTTTACATGTCACTACGTTTAAATAGGTTGACTTGGGACATTTTTTTCGTGGTTTTTGTTTTAGACCCGTCGTCCATTTATTTGTAAGTCAATGGTTAAGGAGCATTATTTATTTTTTATTCCATCCATTTTATAGGTATTATATTATGAAATATATATTTTTCTAAAATGTTTATGTAATTTATAATATTTTAATATTATTATATTGTTTTTGTGTTACCTTCATAATTTTTGTTTTGCTGTGCACGTAAGCCTGTTCTTTTAGAAATAAGGCAACCTTTTCTTTGTATTTTCCTTTTGCTAATTGTGATTTGTATGTTTATTCCTGTGCAATAAATTATTAAAATTAAATAAATAAATTTCGTTGAACTCAATTTCACAAATATTTTACCATTTCTAACTTTCTACTTTTAATTACGAGTATTGTAAGCTGTAATAGGACTGTAATGTAGATTTAATAATTATACGTATGCATAAATTAAAATAATTTCCCTTTATAATTTTTATATATTTTATCCCATATTGTTACTATTGCATGGTGTGATGTTTCTTAAGTGCAGAGGCACTTAGTTTAAAAGCTTGAATGTTTCACTACTTAATGTTAACTTTTCTATGTGGACTAACCTAAATAAATAAACAAGAGTATATCAACGACACAAAAGTGAGTGTGCATTGTCGATTTATGCACACATTTATTCTTTCTTACGTATAGCTCTTTCTCGCTCTGTTCTTCGTATCGTTGCGTTATTGACCAATTTGTTGGTGGTGATAATGTGATTTATAAACGATGTTGCGATTGTACAGATACGGTGTGTCCCCGGGGCAAGCTTTCGACAACATAGTGGGGCACATCGCGGAGCAGACGAAGCTTGATTCCAAGGACCCCATTACTGTGCGGCTGAACAAGATCGCGGCTAACCCGTTCAAGAACTGGAAGTATCCCAGTAAGGTAAGAAATACGTAGTACCCGCAAGTTACCAATACCGTAGTTATTTCTTTAGAGTCGAACTTTGAAGAGGCAGTAAAACGACGAGAGAAGGACTTTTTAATGGAAAAAAAAGTTCGTGTTTTAGAGGTCGGTTTTTTCCATTAAAAATGTTGTAATTACATCTACAGTCGAATTGAGAACATCCTCCTTTTTTTTTGAAGAGGGTAAAAAATAGACACACCCTTGGCAAAAATTTCACTCTACCCTCGAATTCGAAATTGTAATTTTCGGAAAACACAGGCGGTGTACCTATTCCATTATCTTTTCCTAAGGAATGCCCTTACAAAGTTGTCAGTCCCATTCTGCTGGGTGAAGTCGAAGACATTGAGTATAAAATTCCAAGACCTTGACCAAAATATAATAATAATAGTTAGCCTATATATAGTTCCACTGCTAAGCACAGAGAACAGGTATTCTTACGATGTTTTCCCTCACCGAAAAGCTCCACCGAAAAATATAAATTCCGAAAAACTGAAGAGGTGCAAGCCTAGATTCAAACCCACCCTCTGCTCGAAAGGCGGGAAGCAGGCTACCACGTCGATTGCAACTTAAACTTGATCATGTTACTGTGATATTGTCGATAGAAAAAGGAACGCGAGGAGGCGGCAATCGTCGAGCCGGAGACGGGTCGTGGCAAACGCGGCCGCAAGAAGAAAGAGCCTTCGCCCTCGCCGCCACCGCCGCCTAAGAAGAAGCGCAAGGAGAAGACCAACTACGCCGTCTTCGACGAGGACGACGAAGAGGTGATCCAAGACTGCCAATTAAAACCTATTGGAAACCGAGTCCATCAAATACAAACCAAATATAAATATCAGAAGTCGATACTAGCATCATTGTTTCATGTTAGTCTTTAGGATATAAACCAGGCAAAACTCAAAATCGAAGGCTAAGCAACGTACCACAAGCAACCAACCAGACAAACTTACAAAAAAAAAACTAGAGTTCCAAAAAATCGATGTCAGTCCATGTATACCCCATTGTTGGAGACTGGTCTCCTCTAACGGGATGGTTCACTCCTAATACGCTGGCCTATTGCAGCCTGAGGACTTCGCATGGTTTTGAAAAGTCCCCTGTACTTTTCCCAACAACTAAGTTCAATAATAAAGAAATATTCTTCACAAAAAAGCCATACAATATTTTTGTCTGAATACATTCATGTCGGCGATATTTACGTTGTCTCAGGCATCTCAAAATATCTCTATTTTGTGCTGTTCACTTTAACACCTTTCTCTTCTTGTCTCTAGGGCAACCATTCAATCTTTTGACGATTTTTCTCTTTTGCTTCTACTGAGACGATAATTTCGAAGTCGGGAGGTAATATTCATTAACCCTGTGCAGGCGCCGCTGTCTCTCGCGCGCAAGGTGAAGAAGGAAAAGAACAAGGACAAAGACAAAGAGAAAGAGAAGGAAAAGGACCGAATCACGGAGAGCCCGGCGCCCCGCGGCCGCCGCAAGGCGCCCAAGACCAGCACGTACGTCGACGACGACCTGGACGACGTTCCTCTCAAGAACATCAAGAAGGAAATGAAGCCCGAGGAGACCGTCTCCATGGAGAGGTATTACTTCGGCCAATTCGGCGGGGACGGCGTACATAAGAGGGTGGCTATTGCTGTAGAGGTAAATTTTGTTGCCTTTTTTAAATTAATTAAGATTGCTGACGCATTAAACATTTTGAATTCATTTCTATAGCTCGAGATTGAGCTGCGGACCAATAACTAATTGTCGGGTATTTAGTACCCATTGGTACACCAGATGTCGTAACGAGTACCAAATAGCTATTTTTGTAACTAATTTGTTTTACATTGACAAGCTGCAGTTTATCAACTATTTATGAAGGTAGTGAGAAGTTTTTCATTATAACAGCGCAATGTGCCTAATTTTCGGGATGGTACTTTATTATCTAACATTATTATGTTGATGTAGTTGGACCGTACTTACTTGCTAAATTCTTGTTTATGTTTGTGTGTTGTTTGGAACTTCAAGTCTAATTGTTCTAATCGATGTTTTCGTATCACTTACCTGTTTTATGACGGTATGTTTCCCTTGAATAAAAAAAAAGAAGCTTCCTCACCATTAAACTTGGTGGTAGTCTTTAGTTGCCACTGGTTGCGAAACTTAGAATCATGATGTCTAGTTGCGAACGAAGAAAAATACTATTGACAAGCAGCGATCAAAGAGTAAAAGGTCCTCATTTGTAACTGGTTGCTAAAGCGTTTAACCACCTAGCGATGTGCTAACGACAATTTTCATTTTTTCTCTTAAATTTCAGTGCCCCATATGCAGCGTAGAGATCAACAACAACATCGAGCTGATGCGCCATATCTTCCTGCACGTGACCCCCGCCCCTGACGACGCCGTGGACGCCCCCGCGCAGTGCATCTACTGCTTGCAGCGCTTCGCCACTGACGAGGATCTGCAGACGCATTTGAAGCAGAGTCACCCCAACGACACCAAGTCACCGGAGTTGTTTACTTATGCTTGCCTGATTTGTGAGGTCAGTACATGCTTGCGATGTTCCTGATGCTGATTTTCACTGAAACGTAGTATAACTAGTCTAGAAAAATTTTGTAAAAGTCTCGTAAGGTGTGGTAAAGAGACTTGAACAACATACTTGCCTTACTTAACTGTGTCGCCGTAATCGATAAAGTCTCGATTTAATCGGTTCTTGTCGCAAAAAGGTAGATTTTGTCGATCCGCCATTTTTAGAAGCTTATTCTGTCGACATAATCCTCCAATAACGAGGATCACAGCACCTAGTTTATATCTGATGGTACTTAAAAAACCTTCTGATTTAGTCGGTTTCAAACGTCAAATTTTAAAATTTGTCAGGTACGATACAAGGGCTCGCGCACGTCACACAGTCGTTTTTAAAATGTTTTGTTGGTATGTAGCACTTAGAGGTGTTAATAATTAATTTTAAGTTTTTAATATATGCAATAATATTTTCTATTTTCTAATCAGTGTAAAAGTGGTCTAACCATTTAACGGAAGTAAGTTACAAATGGCACCCGACACGTTTATGACCAAATGTGACAAAAATTCCATTTGACATGAAAAACGGTATTTATTTATTTGCGATCAGGTTACAAAGACCAATAGATAAATACGCAATAATATAATAACAGTTTTTGTTTTGATGCGACGTGTGACGCAACGCGGGTGCCCGGTGACCGAAACGTGGCCTCCCTCAGGTGCGCTTCGCGGCCGTGCTGACGCTGGCGTCGCACATGCAGAAGGCGCACTCGCCGCTGGAGCTGCCGTTCGCGTGCGGCGCCTGCGGCTTCCGCGCCTCCGCGCACCGCGCCGCCGCCGACCACTTCCTGCGTCGCCACGCGCAGCACGACGCCGTGCTGTGCCCGCACTGCCTCAAGGTAGGCCCGGTGTGCCTAATCCTCTGTCCTCTGTACGTCGTGTCGCATATATGATGTGCATAACTTCTTTAACAATATATATATCCATAATATCAGCCTTAGATCCAATTGCAAACTCACTGTACCACAATCTCGTTCAACTACGTAAGTTTACTGTATACGTTTTTACAATAAGATTCCGAAGCATATAATAAAATTATCATTTCCTAAATTTAAGATTACGCGTTACATAAAGATGTATGAAAAGAAAACATGAGTCTAAATTCGAGAAAAATAAAATTCAAAGTGTATTTCATAGCGTTTAAGGTTTTTTGAAAAGGACAATCTCTAGAGTTTCTTGCTCGCTCTTCTCACAGAAGTCGGTACAGTGAACGAGCAGTAGCTTAAAAAATTACATTTTCAAGTTTCAAAATTGTACCTATGCAATAAATTATTATTTGACTAAGCAAGCAGTGGAGCTCCTTGTAAGAGTTCGTCCAGAGGATTACTGCCGCCTTACATATTTCTAGCATTACTACATTTCGGTTTTAGATAATAATTACTAAATTACCATTTATTATTAGGCACATGGTACTTTTCAACTTATATCTCAGGGGACGAACAATTTAACGCTCTGTACAGCACTACAACTGTTATAGGTGGGCGTGTCGCTTGCCACCAGGTGCACTTGGCAACATAAAAAGCACTGAAAACGTATCAAAAGAGCAACTCCTAGAGTTCCTTGTACTTCGCAGAAATGAACAATAGAGTTCAAATTACGATGATTTCAGGTGATCCCAGTATACGCGGATGGGTACGAATTATCGTCGAACGTGCAAATCTTCATCGACCATCTCAAAGAGCACCAGAACAAACAGCTGGAAGTGCGCTGCAACCGATGCGTACTCAAGTTTGTGCATTTAGGTATGTATGGGCTTATTCAAAGAAATGGATGTTGATATCACCAGCGTCATTACAGGTTCAAAGAAATTTATTTGCACATTTCGTAAATTGATGTCCATTCCAATACTATTTTAGTTAAAACTTTTATTAATATGAGGAATTTAGTTAGAAACCTTTATGACGTGAAAGATGATGTAGTGATGTAGTTAGAAAAGGGATTGCTTCGATGATTTGATCATATGGAGTTATTTTTTGCCAAGCGAACGTGACTAAAAATAACGGGCGTATGTGAAAACACTGAGTGGAGAAAGCGAAAAATATATCGAGAGAGAGATTAAGCCGGGTACTCACTAGCGAGTTGTAACCATAAACGTTGCATGTTATGTTACCAAAAACCATAGTATGTACGTGGTTTGTGAGCTTGCCGCCAATGGAACGGGCGGTTGTACTCATTCACGCGTACACTCTAGAACCTCGTTACTGCATCTGTCACTGTGTTAATCTGCTTATCCCAGTGGGAGACTTAACATTTTAACCTAAAGTTTTTCGACACAAAAAAGGGAAAAGATTGATTCATCAGGCGTCCTTTTTGGTAGATAGCAATTTCTTCCAGGGCACGATCTCTGGGTTACAGGATATACAAACATAATTTAAATGAGAAAATGACATGACGTCCTGTACATTACTTACTAGTTTGTGTGTGTATGTTGAATATCACTGAGACTGTCCTTTAAATTCTATTATATTTTCAGGGCAATTAAAAGAGCATCAAGTGCGCGATCATAACACCGTTGAAGGCGCGACGCCGCTTTGTTCTGAGGAACATTTAATCACCAAACCCAAGGTGAGGCTCTTTTCTTTTTATTAGCGGTTATGTATTTGATTCGCAGGCACAAAGCGACTGGAATATAACTTCGATTGTCTAGTATACAGATTATTGTGACAACCAATCCATCTGCCTTGAAGACTTACACTTCAATAACTCTCATTTCAATGAAAAAATATACTTATTTCAACAGAATTCTCACTTCAATGTATTTATTGACCCTCAGTGATAGAAGAAGAAGAACAAAACACAGTTTTAATATTATATTATACTTAAAACTACCGTTCCTCATTTCGTGATCTTGTTTCAAAAACTTATGTGCGCAGTATGGTTTGATTAATTGGTCATCTAGGTACAAAAAGTACATAGTTGAAATAGAAAATACACAAAAGACGACCATTTGACAACCTCCGTGGTCGAGTGGCTTGCACACCGATTTTCATGATATTTCTGTGGTCCTGGGTTCGATCCCTGGCCGAGTGTAGAAAAAACAATTTTTTCTGTGTTGTCTCGGGTCGGGGGTCTATTCTCGTTCTCCATCCGAAACAATTAACAGATTCATTCGCATAATGCGTCTTTTTTCTTTCCTCGTTTCTTCTGTTTCCTCGGAGTTATTTATGTAATAAATTAAACAATATACTTGCCTTCTATCCTCTAACTAAAAATGAATGTAAGACTAAAATTACAAAGTGGTTACTCAGTCTTGATTATCAGTCCACTGAAGATCTCCTAGCTATTCAAACTCTATGATCTCCATACCTAGGCTGTTTCACCCAACATGTAGCACCAACACAAAAACGCACGTACGTACGCACTCACGCACGCACCCACATTAATTTGGTCGATTATTACTTATTTATAACTTATTTTGTAGAGAAATAGAGTACACGGCCTGGGTGTTTGTGGTACCGTCGTTGATTCAGATTTCCATAACACAAGTGCTTTAAACTTAGTTTGGGATCAGAGCAACGTATTTGTTGTCTAATATTAAAAGAAGTTTGTCAAATTTCTTAATTTCAATACTTTCAGTCATCTTCGCCTTACAGAGACGTATGACCATATAGCTGTAAGAATACCGTTGTAATAACAATGCATTCTATTGGACCATTGACCTACATTGGCTATAACTAGACCTTCAATGCTAGTTCCACGTAAATGCACTATCCCCAACTATATTAATATTTGCTGGTTGAGAGATTGCCACTTAGCTCCGTGGCCATTTACTAAATTTGTTAGTAATAAATAATAAAATGTTTATAAATAAATAACGCACACACTCAACATAGCCCCGCACTAGGGAAACCCTGTGTCGCGGGTGCCATGGACACACACACATAGACAACCACAAATTACACCCAAACTAACGAGAGAAATAATTGTAGACCATATTTCTCCCGGCCCGGGAATCGAACCTGGGACCTCTGCGTGGCAGTCCGACATGGTAACCGTTCGGCCACTGAGGCAGTAGTTCATGTCAGTAATACAATTAATTTTACACTAAAATTGGATGGTACCTCGTATTAAGCTTATCAAGCCTGTGTCAGGGAGGCACCGCTCTTCCACAGCTATAAATGCACATTTAACATTTTGAACTTATACCAAATTTAGTGTTTATTTTTTACATTTCCAAACAACGTCAAAACAAATTAACAGTTTTAGAATAGAATAGAAATCATTTATTACATAACGCCATAACACAATAATACACAGTAAGACATTAAAAACAAAGATAAAGCTAAATTAAAACAAAAATAAAATAGAATAACAAAAAAAAAATTAAATAAAATTAATTAAAAACATTAATTGTTAAATGTTTTCAATATTCTTAACTTCTAATTTTGATCTTTAATTTGAATCTTAAAACGTATGCGTGTGTTAATGTGTGTGCAAACGTAAGTGTATGTTAGTGACTTCACGTGTGTTGTATCGAATGTAACAATACAAGACGAGACGTGAAAAAAGAGTGATTTGCTTTCAGAACAAGGCGCGGCCGCCGGTGAAGGACACGACGAGCCACACGATCTCGGACACGTACGAGGACCTGACGCTGGTGCTGCCGGACGGCGCACTTTGCCGCGAGTGCGACTCGCCGCTCGAGAACGACAAGCACTTCCTGTCGGTGTCTATCCTCCCTTATCGGCGCTTATTATATATTGCTTCTATCATATATAAACAGTATTGTATTAAGTGACGGGACGAACGAACGAAGAAAAGTCCTGCGCCTGATGATAAACTACACGCCTGCCAATAACAGTTGTAGTGCCACTCAGAGCTTTAAGTGGCAGAGATCTGAGGGGCACTACCGCTGCGCCCGTCACCCTGAGGCATAAGTCGACAAGTCTCATGTTAATTATTCGGTAATTGTAACCATAATTAACCTCCTCCTTTTTCGAAGTCGGTTAAAAATATAAATATTTAGAATTAGCATGTACTTGTAACTGGCCGATGCTTGTGTCCGTGCACCGCAGGGGCGTGACGGCGTGCAGCAAGTGCCCGTTCCGCACGATGTGCTACCGCGCCATGCTGCGGCACAGCGGCTACTGCGCCGGCCCGCACTCGCTGGAGGACGCGCCCCGCGCCGCCCCTTACCGCACGCACTGCGTCTGCGACTACACCACCACCATAGGTGGGGCGGACGATGTCCCATTGACACACGAGCTGACTACAATGTTGACGAAACAACATCAATTTTCTTTCAAATTGTCATTTTAACCATTTCCTTGAAAAACCTATTATACATACCACATTTACCTTTATTTACTTATTGTCGTTTGAAGAAAAATGATGTTTAAAATAGGTCATTGAATGTTGGCGGGATAAGATTGAGTCGTAGCCTGCTTGACTTTTTTGTTTATCTTGTGTGCGATTCCCAGGTACGGACATGCTGACGCACTTGCTGATCTGCGAGCACAAGACGGCCTACCCGTCAGAGGAGGAGGCGCGCAGCAACATCGCGGGGGACGACAAGCCGGCGGAGGAGCCGCAGGCACACGACACGGTGAGGAAGCGAGACCTCTGTCCCCGCCACCAGTTGTTTAGTTCCGGCTTAAAAATGAGTATGCTTGCAGCCAATGGAGACCGTGTCCTCTATCCAAGACTACGCGCCGCCGTCGGTGCTGAACACGCAGCTGTCCCTGGATGACCTGGCCCCGCCATCGGTCTTGCAACCGGACCAGGTAACTTTGTTCACTACCTGACTACACTGGTATATTTATACACTTAAATGTCCTAATTGGTTCCACGAATTATTTGCTGCCACCAAATTAATGTGGTGGTCGAATGGTATAGTTTTATTTTCTGAAGTCCAAGCATTGAAACCATTATACAATTTGAGTATCTCAGTTGACTTGACCAGAATACACTGTCACTTATCAAGTAACACCTAGCCTGACCTAGTATCTTTTTATGAACAGCACGACCAAGAGCTACTAAAAGACGCATACGACCGCCCGCTGGCGACGCCACGCCACGAGGAGCAACAGTACACACTCGGCGACTTCGAGCCGCTTCCGCAAGAGCCACCACCGCAACCTGATTTTGAACAGCTGTAAATCGACGCAACTAGCTAAAGGCTGACATGCTTCAATGTCACCCTCATACGTTACAATATTTATATTTTTTTTTACTGACAATGCGAATGTTGATAGCAAAAATACTGATTTAAGTTTAGTCATTTTAAAATTATACTGATTTTGTTTTATAAAGTAATTAAATACAATATGTATGTAGTTTTATAATATTAATCTTAACATCTTTATGATATTCTAGAAATAAATGTTAGTAATCATTTTATATTCTTTTCCTTTTCCTTCTCTTCTTGAAAGTCAATGTAACCTTATTTGTTACTCCGTATTCATCTATACTTCTGTGATCACAATCTAATATGAGGCCTTCGTAATTGAGATCATATGTTTTCCAAATGTATTTCCAGGATATTTTCACTTTGTTCTTTATTCTTTTTTGGTAAATCTCAAAATGCCTTGCAATCGCCTTCTTCAGATCACTGACAGTTGCACTTTGAGGGACCTGTAAACATTTAAACCAAAGTAGGTTAACATATAACCATTTTATATACACTAATGGAATGGTAAAATAAGATAAAACACCAGTGACTATGAAATGTATGAACCAGTGCCTGTACCTTTGAGGTCAAGTACTTTTATTACACTGAACATAATATAAAGTTCCGGATTTAAGTTGCGTATATTTGTTTTTTCAAACAAACCGACGTTTCGTGCCCTTTACAGGTCCCGTGGTCACGGTTGACTGAGGTGGTACAGTCTTCAACAAGTTATGTCTAATATTGATGCAAACCACCCTATTTTTTTCACTATAGTAACAATAGTTATTAATTAAACACCTAATTTTTAATTTTACAAAGAAAATGTTTCAATTTATTTAAATCTGGAAAAATAGTTTCATTTCCTGTGTGTAACAATCGCGAAAACCTAAGAACTCGATATAATATAAAGTGTTAACTTACAACAACTTTCAACACTGGTTCATCCTCCCGGTTTATGAAAATTGTAATAGCTTGGCCATGCTCTACAGCAATCTGAAAATAATTTTAGCACTTGGACAGTGATGTATATACATTATAACATATTTTTTAAAGTTTTATTTATTAAGGGGCTGTGTTCGTTATTGAATACGTCAGCCCCTATAATTAAGATTTTCGGTATCGTGAAAACGTAGAGTTTCCGGCCCGGCATTGAATTCCATACAAATTGGATGCTCATTCTATATCGCACCAGTAATAATCGGAACTTATAAGGAGGAACACCCTAACAACAAATCATTGGCAATAAGTATTTGCTTTTAACTTTGAAAATTACCTGAGACAAAACCTCTTCAAGAGTAATATCTGGAGGAAGATCTGAGAGCAAAGGATCGCAGGTCAAAAGCGTGCTAATTGAAGATTGAGTGATCTCCAGCAGTTCGTCGTGAGACAATGTTGCAGCTAGTGACCCTTCGCTGTCAGTTATATCGCACATATTTAATTTGAAATTGTTTGTTTACATTAATTTGTTCTGGTTCGCATTTTTAGGTTATTATTTGTGCATATTCAAAATTTCGAAATTGACAACTGTGAAATTAATGTGGTTCAGTTGAAAAACCGATAATTTTCTTTTCTGAAACACGTAATGCGCATCACTAATACCAAAGACAAAATATATTGTTTTTAAAAAATTACCATAAAAGAAAAAATACCCCATTTTTAAGATTTCTAAGCTTGCAGTCCTTTCAAACACAACATATTAATAAAATAGGTGTAACAGAAAGGTATAGTCATATTAAAGGACCTAAATATGTACTACGTTTAGAGTCTGAGCAAAATTTCAAATAAAAAACACAAAATAAATAAAAATAAAAGTGTTATCAAAATTCAGAAAATTATCTGAGAAAATATTTGAATATTACAAGGAAAATTAACTGACTTCTTTTATTTCTTATTAAAGAGGAATTAATTGATACCCACGGTCATTTTTTATCGATCACCGCCATCTATACAGGGTGTAATCGTTAAGTGTGCCCTGGTGATTATTCCATAAATATAAAAGATATCAAAAAGCTTTTAACTGATATCGAAAGTACGTTACCTAATAAGTACCTATATACTAAATCTATGTAATGAGTAAATCAACATCAATAACATTTTTTAAATTAAAACTAGAAATATCCAAAATATTAACATGAAACGCTCCCATACATTTTATATAACGTTCATAGTGACGCTTTAATTGACCTACTTCAAGAGGTTACAATAAGTTTACATAGATAACAAAACTGCTATAAAATAAATAATAAAACTATCTTATAATTGAAAAAAAATATAATGGCACGGTCAATTATTTGGTCAAGTGTGAGTTGTCCATAAAAATGAATAAAAATACAAAAAATCGGGCCAGCAGAAGTTGGTCAAATTTAATAAAAAGTTTTTCATGCAAATTTTTTTGATTGATATCCATCATTTCTCATATTAATTAATCCTACAAAGTTCATTTCACGATTAGTTTTGTCGGAATCAAACCCCAGATCTTCTCATCAAGCGCTCATAGAGCTAACCGCTGGGCCGTAGTTTCGTGTATACATGTTTATTTATATATCCTTATTTACTTATAATCCTGTATATATTACTTATTTTTAATGACCTACGGACCAGTAATTGATTAGATGATCGAAATTTTACGACCTGAAATATCAAAATAATATAACACACTGGGAAATAAAATTCTAATGAAAATGTGTTTCACTCCTTTTACTAAATATGGCTGAAAAAACAACTACAGCTTCCTTGTACACCCCGTACATTCATATAAGTCTCAAATCACGATTGACCAGTGATTTCAGCGTAATGTAACCCTTTATAATGTGAACATTCGTGCATTCGGGTATTTGACAAATGTCGTTGCGCTTCCGTTGAGTTACAGAAATAATAAAATTTCAAATTGTTTTCATTTTCTTTTTCAAAAGCATACACAATGTTTACACGCAAAGCTGCTGCGGAACGTCAATTGGAGGATAAACTCCAACACGCTTTATTAGAACTCAAAACAGCAAAGGCACTGAATGAGCAATTGCTAACAGAAAGAAACGATAGTGAAAAGGAAATATTGGACATTTTAGATAGGAATAGGCAATTAAAAAGTGATATGGCTGAATTGCTTATACAAATTACGGAGGTACAGTTCCAAAGAGACCAGCTACAGATTGTGGTAGATGGATTCGACCAAAGCAGCAGCGCATTCGAAGAAGCCCTTGCACGCATTTCTTCATTAGAATGTGACCTACGAGACGCATACAATCAAATAACTATAATGGAACAAGCAAGGGACGAACAACAGTCAACACAGTCGCAGTCCCTATTTGATGAGCTGATCAGCAGTGCTCCCACAATGGTTTGTGCTGTACCACCCTCCTGTTCAGAACCAATCACCACTAATCTGACTTGTGAAAGTAACTCATTTAATTCAACAGCTTTAGCTTTAAATTGTAGTAAAAAAATACTAAAAAAGTATGTCAAAATTAATAAATACATATCCAGTACAAATAAATTAATAAAGAAAAATGCAGCATTTTGTAAAAATATATCATTAAGAAAAGAACGTCAGAGTTTGTTGAATGAATTGAGTGATTGTACACAAAATCTTGAGAAAAATAGGCTTAGCTATGAATGTGACACACAGCGCCTCCAGGCAGAATTACATAGTGTAACAAATTCATTAAAATTAATAACACAGAAATATGAAACTGCGCAACAGGAGATTAAGGAGCACACACATGCTATGGATAATTTATTCGATTTATGTAGATATAATAATGACAGATTTGACTCTTTAACAAATAATCAAGTTTGCAATTGCAAAGAAATAAAACCACAATCCTCCCTGTCTGTGTGTGTCACTAATCCCTCCTCATTGTTGTTGCAGGAATCTTGTTTAGAATCAAAAAATACCTCTTTGTCAATAACTAGATCAAATTAAATTCAAAATAATATAGTTATGTATAGTGATGAAATGGGTAAAAATATAGGTTTGCAACTTAACCACCTAGGATTAAAATTAACAAATATTTGCATGCCAGGTGCAACATACTGTAAAATATTAGATAGTATTTTGTCAACTAAGTTTGACAAAGACACTTCATTAATAATTTTAATTGGCAGAAGAGGAAAATGTAACAAAAAAGATTTAATACAATATTTTTCACAATTAAATAATTTAATTAATATAAAAAAAATTATTTTGTTAGCTTTTCCCTTCAGCAATTGCCTCACAACAAGTGAAAATAATTTGAGGCATAACTTAAATAGGACATTACACAGCTTGACATTTCATTATAGTAAATTTCATTTTATGGATACTAATAATAATTATTAGTAAATATTTTTATTTGACTAAAGATAGGTATTATCTTACTAGTTATTTTAGGAGACAGATAGCAGAGATGCTATCATATTATATTAATAATTCAGCCAAATCATTGGCTACCAGACCGGCTGCTTCTATTGAGCAGTCCGTTGACATAGGTCAGTTTACTGACAATAATAATTCTGTTGAAATTAATTCAATTTCTAATTATTTAAATTAATTAATAAGACAACGGAGAGATACTCTTGCAACACATTGATAGTAAGAAACCAACCTAAAACACACAGAAATAAAATAAATTTTATATTAAACCTGGTGCACCAAAATATTCAAGGCATGAAAGGCAAAGAGCTAGAAATAGAATTATTTATTAACTGTAACAATATTGATATTCTTTGTATTACTGAACACCACTTTCTATCACAACATCAGTTCATGTTTAGCTTCAACAATCACCAGGTGGCTAGTTCGTTCAGCAGAGAAAAAGCTATTCATGGCGGCTCTTTAATTCTTATTAAAAATAATTTAAAATTTAAAGAACGTACAGATATTGTGAGCCTATCTATTGAGCGGACTATAGAGATATCCTGCATAGAGCTTGAACGGCTTGTTATATTAAGCGTGTACAGACCCCCTCATTCATCTTACGAACTATTTGAAAAAAGATTAGATGAAGTTTTAGCCAAATTAAATAATATAAATAAATATATTGCTGTTTGTGGTGACTTCAATGTTAACTTATTAGAAGATTCCAGTGCTAGCAGTAGGCTCATATCATTTTTCCAATGTTATAACCTTGTGAATCTTTTTTTGGTGCCTACTAGAATACCTTCTACTACTGCCACTTGTTTAGACAACATTTATACCAACGCCGTACCTAGTAATAAATCTATTATAAATAAATTAACTCCAGATCACTGCGGTCAATTGGCCACTTTTAATATAACTGTTGACAAAATGCCGAAAAAGGATATCACATGTGTTCCGATAAATAATGGTCGACTTAAAGCTTATAGAAATAACGTAATGCTTAAACTAACTGACATTCCGTACGTTAACGATCCCAATAAATTGTATAATTCAGTTTTCAACATAGTGAAAAGTGAACGTGATAATGTTTTTAAGTCCAAAATCATAACTATTAATAATTCATTGAAATTTAGTGAATGGGCGACTGTGGGAATTCACAAAAGTAGACAAAGGCTATATGATCTTTACGATGAAAGAACTTATAACACTAGTAACAGTTTTAATGATTTTGTTAGGAAATATTCGAAAATGTTTAAACGTGTTTGTGTGGCAGCCAAAGCAATGTTTATTAATAATAAAATAAAAAGCAGCGCGAATGTAGTAAAAACGACTTGGAATATTATAAATAGCGAAACTGGAAGGGTCAAACCTCGTAACTTAGATTTTCAACTAAGATTTAATGACAAAATTATAAACACAGGCGCAGAAGTTGCTAAAATATTTGAAAATTTTTTTACCGACATTCCTATTTTGACTACTAATTCGTTAAATTCATCTCCCACGGCCGCTGAATCCTTACTAAAACTAAATAATGCAGTTAGTATCACTAATTTAAGGTTCCCTCATGTATTTCCAAACGATATTGTTAAAGCCTTTAAGTCTATAAATATAAAAAATACTGCTGATGTTGATGGTCTTTCAGTCAGAGTAATTAGTTTTATAGTTGATTGTATTGCGCCTTACTTAGCCTGTGTCTTTAATAAATGTGTTGATGATGGTGTCTTTCCTGACCTCATGAAGCAAAGTAAAGTTATTCCACTTTTCAAATCTGGTAGTATTTCTGACCCCACCAATTTCAGACCTATATCAATACTACCAACTCTCAGTAAAATATTTGAAAAAATTATTCTAAATCAGATGTGTGCACATTTTTATAGTAATAATTTAATGTCTCCTAAACAATTTGGTTTCACTCGGGGTCGCTCTACAACCGACGCTGGTGTAGAGTTGATTAATCATATATTTGATGCATGGGAAGTCTCACATGATGCTATTGGTGTATTCTGTGACCTTTCCAAGGCTTTTGATTGTGTGCACCATGATACACTGGTCAGGAAACTTCGCCATTATGGTGTGGCGGGACGTGATCTCGACCTTCTTAAATC